ACTTCTGGTAACATGGGAATGCAGCTTAATATGCTAATGAGTGGTGCAGTCAGGGGTGTGGCCTAATATGCTAATGAGTTCCTACTGTTGGGTGTGGCCTATTATGCTAATGAGTTCCTGCTGGACCTTTTCTACAAAAAAAGCCCTATACACACACACACACACTTTTAAAAAGGCTCAATTATTGGTTGTTGTTAAAGGTGGTGTCAGAATCGGACCTTTGCCTGGTCATTGGGTCGGTATACATGCATGTCTGAGTCTCTGATGTACATAGCTTTGCTCTGCTGAATGTTATCACTATTGCTTTCGCCATTTCCTCCCCCCTTGCAGTTCCCAAGCCTCATGTAGCACCTGCTGGCTTTGTATCAATCTGTCAGCAAGGATCCTCCTCTGACATCCCTAAAGAGGAGAGATTTAGACAGGCCTGTGTGAACGTAGATAGCTGCGCTTATGTAACACTGTGAAGTAGAGCCTCCCCCGTGAAGGCTGTGAGAGATTCTTCGCTATTCTTATTTCTCATGGCCTTAGGAGAGTATCAGCTGATAAACATTCTTACCAAGTTAATTGAACTGTCTGATCCTGTTTAAAGATCTTGGGGGGGGGGGCAATAATAATTTTGATTGATACAACCTTCCATTATTGAAATATATCAATATTATAAAACTAGCTAGCTTTTGCAGCTTAGATCTCGAAACCACATAGCACTTAGTAGAGAAGGTAGCTTACAGATGCTAGGACTCATAATTCACCAAATACGGAATAGAGCCCGGGGGCTCTGGAATGCGGGGAGGGGTGGTTCAGTTCAGTAGGCGTATCGGCTAAGATTGTAAACCCAGATGCCTTTCCAACAATGAGGTAACAATGGAGGCCGCGGATACGGTTTTGCTTTTGCTTATGATTATATGAGGAGCTGCGGTAGCTCAAGTGGTTAAGACGCTGAACTGCAGGCTGTGGAAGGTCGGTAGTTCAGCAGTTCGAGGACCGAGTGTGCCGCATGATGGAGTGAGCTCCCGTCTCTAGTTCCAGCTCCTGCCAAACTAGCCGTTTGAAAGCAAGAAATTGCAAGTAGATAAATAGGCACCACTTCGGTGGGAAGGTAACAGCGATCCGTGCGCCTCGGTGTTTAGTCATGCTCGCCACATGACCACGGAAACGTCTTTGGACAGCGCTGGCACTTCGGCTTTGAAACGGAGATGAGCACCGCAACCCTAGAGTCGGATTCGACTGGCTTTCGAGCAAGGGAACCTTTACCTTTTTATAATTATATGAGCACCTTTATAATGCCATGCAACCAATGTTTTAACTGAGATTCGTGGAGGTTCCCTTTACTGGACAGTAAAGCCTTCAGACCTTCACTGCTGAATTGGTCTTGTGTGATTATTTTAGACAAATATTTTTGTTGCTAACAATCTGATGAGATCAGGCTAGCCTGGGCCATTCTGGTCAGGGCAAAAAAAAAAACTACTTTACACCATATTAAATCCTTACTGTGTGAGACTAAGAAAGGAATGTTAAATCACCTTAATGAAAACAAAACAAAAAAACCCCTTACAGATTCCTTTACTAAATGAATTCGGCTCCTGAACTCAGAGGCTTCATTGGAGTGATTTCGACGGCACACAAATTCTTTCAGGACATCTCTGATCTCCAAGTCTTGTGGCGATCCAAGGCTCCTCTCAAAAGCAGCAAGATCATCATCACAGGAAGAGGAAGCATCACTCGCCAGAATCTAAGAGCAGATGATATGTAATTGAACCTGACAGATCCAAAATGAGAGATGCATGGGATTCACTCACATATACAAAATATTACTCTGCATCGAGCTACAATCATGTCTAGAAGAAGAAGAAGAGATTGGATTTATACCCCGCCCTTCATTCAGAGTCTCAGAGCAGTTTACAAACTCTTTTCCCTTCCCCTCCGCACAACAGACACCATGAGGTAGGTGGGGCTGAGAGAACTCTGAGAGAACAGCTGTGCCAGAACTGCGGCTTGCCCAAGGTCATCCAGGAGCTCCAAGTGGAGGAGTGGGGAATCAAACCCGGTTCTCCCAGATTAGAGCCTGCACACTTAACCACTACACCAAACTGGCTCTCAAAAGCATCTGTAACTGTATGGTTTTGGCTGATCCTTTTTAGCCCCGACTTTAATGGCTGTAAAGGTGGCCCATTTTTAATTTCAGAAGCCCAGAACCAGAACAGAATCTTGCAGGTAAGGTGTGGGGGCCCTGAAAGAACCTGATGGGTGGTTTAAACAGAATCCTATGGCCCAAGGCAGAACTTCTTTCAGGAGTTTCCCTGGCTCATTTAGGATTACGCTGTCAAGCATGAACAGTCCAAATATAGTTATACCACTTAATTCTGACAAAAGGATAAACAAGTCCTATGACACATTATTTGAAAGGGTACAGTTGTCTTTAGCTGGATAGTAGGCCATTTCTGCAATCTCCTTTTAATCCATGTTCACCACGGCGTCCTCCAAACAACTCTGCACTAAAATCGAGTTCAACCTTCTTTTTATTCTGGGTTTCCCCCCATTCTGCATTATGTCACCGCCCTTCAGTGGTCGGCCCGGTTTCAGCCTGCTGTTGCCCCGGGTTACTTGGATGCTGTTTTGCTGTGGTTTTCAATTGCCTCGACTAGTAACATCACAGTGTTTTCCTCCCTCATTGCAATCACAGATGCCCATTGTGCCCTTCCGACTATGGAAGATGCCAGGCAAGAAGTTACTTCAAAAGGGAATTAGATAAGCATATGGAGCAGAGGTCCATCAGTGGCTATTAGCCACAAGGTATAGATAGGGGCTCTGCGGCAAGTGATGCTCTGTCTTCTTGGTGCTTGGGGGGGTCAACAGTGGGAGGGCTTCTAATGTCCTGGCCCCACTGGTGGACCTCCTGATGGCACCTGGTATTTCTGGCCACTGTGTGATACAGAGTGTTGGACTGGATGGGCCTTTGGCCTGATCCAACATTGGCATCTCTTATGTTCTTATGTTCTTAAGTGACAGCAATGCAGTGATGCCATTCCCAGTCCACTGATTACTTCACCTTGCTGGCTGCCCCACCCTAGATGAGCAGCCGATGAAAGCGAATCAAAGCAGTAGCCAACCTTAAAATTCATGGCGGTTCAGTCCATCAATGGCTACTAGCTAAATGGAACATCTACTTTCAGAGAACATAAGAACATAAGAGAAGCCATGCTGGATCAGGCCAATGGCCCATCCAGTCCAACGCTCTGTGTCACACGGTGGCCGAAACCCAGGGGCCATCAGGAGGTCCACCAGCAGGGCTAGAACTCCAGAAGCCCTCCCATTGTGGCCCCTGTGAGCACCAAGGATACAGAGCATTACTGCCCTAGACAGAAGAAGATAAGAGAAGCCATGCTGGATCAGACCAATGGCCCATCCAGTCCAACACTCTGTGTCACACAGTGGCCAAAACCCAGGTGCCATCAGGAGGTCCACCAGCAGGGCCAGAACTCCAGAAGCCCTCCCCCTGTTGCCATGCAAGCACCAAGGATACAGAGCATTACTGCCCTAGGCAGAAGAAGATCAGAGAAGCCATGTTGGATCAGGCCAGTGGCCCATCCAGTCCAACACTCTGTGTCACACAGTGGCCAAAACCCAGGTGCGGGGCCAGAACTCCAGAAGCCCTCCCATTGCGGCCCCTGTAAGCACCAAAGATACAGAGCATTACTGCCCTAGACAGAAGAAGATAAGAGCAGTCATGTTGGATCAGGCCAATGGCCCATCCAGTCCAACACTCTGTGTCACACAGTGGCCGAAACCCAGGGGCCATCAGGAGGTCCACCAACCCGGCCAGAACTCCGGAAGCCCTCCCACTGTACCCCTCTGCATACCAGTGCTAGGGAATGAGAACTGAGGGAGGCTTTGACCTCTATGCCCTGTTTGTAGGCCTTAAGGGGGCATCCAGTTGGCCATTGTGGGAGATGGGATGCTGGACTAGATGGAT